AAAAAAAAAAAAAAAAAAAAATCATCTCCTGTGCACAGTCCCGCAGACATCTGGGGCTGGTTCTGTCCTGGGACAGATGCTCCACATCTTGGCACTGCAAGGAAAGCCAAAGAGATGTGAATTTCCCTGACTTGTGCTGCTGTGAGCTGAGGTCTTGGGCAGCTAGCTAAGATCTTGCAGTACAAGTATGTTTGTGGTGGCAATAAGGGAATAAGAGTCCAGAAACAAGAACTGAGGATACAGAATAGTCACTCTTTATCTTGACAGTTCTAACAGTTTTGCATTCATGTTTAAATTTCATGCTTCAAACAACACAAATTTATCTTACCAAGTACTGGGGGTCAGAAGACCAAAATGGGTCACATTGGGCCAGGGATTTAGTTCAGCGGTTCCGCCGCCTGCCTCGCAAGTGCAAGGTCCTGAGTTTGATCCCCGGTACCAAAAACAACTAGACTAAAATCATGGTGTCAGTAGAGGTTGCTCCTTCTGGAGGCTCTAAAAGGAAATCTGGTCCTTTGCCTCTTACATCTTCTAGGCAGAGTTGCTTGCGACCCCCTTCCTATGTTCATGTTCTCTGGCCTCCACTTCCACTCTCCTGCCCCTCTCCTGCATATTAAAGGGCTCCTGTGGTTACTGCCCACCTGGTGATCCCAGCTAACCACTCCAGCTTAAAGTTCCTCATCACCATTTACCAAAAAAACCCTTTTGCCATGTAAGGTCACAGTTACAGACTGGAGGGATTCGTGTGTCTTTGGAGGGCCACTGTTTTGCCTACCACACACTGATCCCGGTTATAACTTTAAGAGATGGCGTGTTGTATCACTATCTTTGTTTAGCAGATAAGAAACAGGTGTGGGAAGGTTATGTAACTTGCCCGAGGTCATATGGTTAATAAGGGTTATACAGACCAGGATTCATATCTAAAGTTTTTGGGGCTGGGGCTTTGGCTCGGGGGTTTGGCTCAGTGGTTCCGCCACCTGCCTCGCAAGTGCAAGGGCCTGAGTTTGATCCCCGGTACCAAAAACAAACAACAAACAAATCTAAGGTTTTTTGGTCAGAGGCTTCTCACACACATGAGACCAGCCAGAGTGGGAGAGGAATGACAGACAGACACCAGGCTGGTTTCTAGAGAGGAAATTTCCAAGACAGATAGATGGTGTGGGGCCTGGGTCCCAAGTCCAGATCCATCCTGGCCTCTTACTCTGAAGGATGAGAAATACTAACAAAATTCTTTCAGTTTCTTATTGGCAGGGGGCAGGGTGGGGACGAGCCAGAGTAATTGGTCTTAAAGTTCCTCTCAGCTTGTACATTCACAGACTCTGACCAGGTTCTTCCTGCCAGTGACCCGGTAGAAGGGCTTCCCAACCCTTGCAAGATCGTGCTGCTAACATTCACCAATTCCGTTCAGTTTCTATCAGGGGCACCAACACCACTGATCATTCTAGAATCCATTTTGCTGAAAGGAAATGGAGACTCAGAGTACATAACTTTCTCACAGTCCACCTCCAGCAAAATGCTGGCAAAATGAAATGAAAAACTAGTCTCCTGCCACCAACTCCACAAAGGGGTCTTTCCCTATGCAGGGACTCCTAAGAGCTGGTATCCCCACCCATGTGCGATCTGATGTATGCACAAGCAATGCAAATGCCTAAGTCTTCAATGTGAGAAACAAATGCTGTGCTCTACTCCTGAGATGATGCCTCTTTGGGTGTTCGATGCCATCTTTTTTGAAGTGGTGGTCATGGTAGATGGTGAGGTCATCCTTGAGGTGAGGCAGGGATAACATCTTTATAGGACAGAATTAAAAGTTGGCCACTCTATCTTGGTCTCTAGCATTTGTTTTGAAATAAGTATCTGTGACCTCAGTTTGGGGCTCCAAGCCTCTGGCCTGCATTCTCACCAGGCAGTTCCCTGGAACCCCAGCTCCCTTGGACTTAGGGCTTAGGAGGACTGTGGAGGGTAGAGAGAGGTGTGCCGCACCTTGGAGACCACAGGAGACCAGTGTTGGGTGCAGGGGCAGGGCCCTGAGACCTGCAGTCAGTCTCCCTGGAATGCAAGAAGTCAGCTGAGGAGAGCTGTGGAGGAATCCCAGGTCCCTTCTCTCTCCCTGCTGCCACCACAAGGAACAATGGCATGTACTCCCACAGGGGAGGGGGATGGGCACAGCTGCCCCACGGACCCCACGCAGATCCTCAAATCCGAAACCACTTTCCTGCCCCCACCTGAACCATTGACCCCTGCCTTGTAGCCCCCCCGCAGTTTCCTGTTTGCCCACTCTATTTGCCCAGCCCCAGGGACAAAGCTGATCCTTGAACTCTCAGTTCCACATTGCCACAACCAGTGAGCAGTGACAGGGCTCATTTGGGCTTATCAGCCTTCCAGCCCAGCCCCTGCCTGGAGATATAAATAGGCCAGGGAGATCTGGATGCTCAGAGTCTGGCTCAGAGACTCGCCTGAGAGCTCCAGGGAGGTAAGTACGGCTCCTCGTCCCAAGCCGCTCTGGTTTCCCAGCTCCAGGAAAGTGATGCTTGACTCTGCCCAGCCAGGAACTGGGTTCCCAGGACCTTGTCCCACTCTGGGTCCCTCCTCCTCCCCGGCTGGAATGTGTGGGGAGCACGAAGCTCCTCATGCTAGAAGCCCCCTTAGCCAAGCCCCTCCTCTCCTTCAGGTCACACATACTTCGGAATGAAAGCTGTGGTGCTAGCCGTGGCTGTGCTCTTCCTGACTGGTAGGTGTCCCTGACCAAGGGATCAACCATCGGGGGCCTTCTCGCTATGCCCTGGTGGCTCTCCCTGCGGGGCACAGGGAGCAGAGTTTCTCTCTTGGCCCTCCTCTAGTCTCAGAGAGCTGGCCTGATCTGGGTCCCCTCTCCAACCCCAGGGAGCCAGGCTCGGCACTTCTGGCAAAGAGATGAGCCCCAGACCTCATGGGACCGCGTGAAGGATTTTGCTACCATGTATGTGGATGTAATCCAAGAGAGTGGCAAAGACTATGTGGCCCAGCTGGATGCCTCCACCTTGGGGAAACAGCTAAAGTAAGGACCCAGCCTGGGCCTGGGGGAAGGGGAGATCCCAGAGGCAGAAAGGCCGGTGGGAAGCTGTAGCCAGACTAGCCAAATCCTGTGCTGCTACAGAATGTGCTGGGCCCCTTAGCAGGTGTGAATGGAGATACAGGGATAGGATCCTCATGCAGGGTCACAGGCCCTATAGTAATCAGAAACCGCAGCAGCACATTGTGCCCACCAGGGCAGCAAGCTCTTGCCCTTCTGCACTTCCTGGGCTGGCTGTCTTCAGATAAGGGAGTGACCTTCAACACCGGGCACCAGCCCGAGGTCTGGCTCCATCTGGCTCCACTCTGTGATCAGGCCATCTGTACAACACGACACAGGGTGGAGGTGCTGGGAGTGAGGTGTGCATGGGAAAAGCCAAGAACACAGCTACTGCACTCCCAGCACAGGTCACACCGGGACCAGCAGATCCCTGGCAGTCCAGGGTGCCTGGGAGGCCACCCCATAGCCACCTTTTCTCCTACTCCAGCCTGAATCTCCTGGAAAACTGGGACACCTTATCGTCTGCCTTCAGTAAGTTACGCGAGCAGCTTGGTCACGTGTCCCAGGAGTTCTGGGATACCTTCGAAAAAGACACAGCGTGGCTGAGGGAGGAGATGAACAAGGATCTGGAGAAGGTGAAAAAGAAGGTGCAGCCCTTCCTGGACAGCTTCCAGGAGAAGATGCAGGAAGAGGTGAAGCGCTACCGCCATAAAGTAGAGCCACTGAGCCTGGAGCTGCGCGATGGTGCCCACCAGCAGCTGAAGGAGTTGCAGGAAAAGCTAGGTCCCCTAGGCAAGGACCTGAAGGATCACGCACTCGTACACATGGATGAGCTGCGCTCTCATCTGAGGACCTACACTGAAGAGATGGGACAGATCCTGGCGGAGCGTCTGGGGGCAATCAAGGAGAGCACTTCCCTTGCAGAGTACCAGACCAAGGCCAGCGAGCACCTGAGAACATTTAGCAAGAAGGCCAAGCCCATCCTGGAAGACCTTCGCCAAGGCCTTCTGCCCGTGGCGGAGAACTTTAAGACCAACATTAAGAACACCTTCGACCAGATCACCAAGCACGTTACGACCCAGTGAGGTGCCAGCTGCTGCCACCTCCTCCTTCTCTTACCAGCATTCAGTTTCTTAGAATAAATATTTCCAAAGTAGAAAACAGCTTCTTTCTCTTGGGGAAAATTGAAGTGGGGTGTGGGGCACTGGAGGGGCCAACCAAGGGGGCTGGGATGGAGTGGGATACTTTGGCAACGAAGCAGGGCCTTCCTGCCTGCTTCCTACAAAGATGAGTTCAGGCTCAGCCTCTGCAGGGCCTTTATCCATGGTGGAGGTCCTGCAGGGCAGCGGGCTGGTTAGCAGCGGAGAGCAGAACCCCAGTCCTAACATGGCTCATAGAAAGGAGGTAACTGAGGGCCAGGCAAAGTGACAGGTCACCTATTGCCAAGTGCACAGGCTCAAACCCTAACTGCTCAAACCTGTCTCTGCTTGGGGAAGTGGTCCCCTGCCCCAGAGTGTTTCTCCGTGGGACCTGGGCCCAGGACGGGAGCTTCTTCCAGCTTTCTGGCTCCAAGCTGGTTGAATGGGCTCGAGGAGCCCTTAGAACATGAAAGATTTCAGCAGGTACAAACGATGCTTGGAGCTTGCTCCTTCCTCCTTTATGGATTTGAAAACCTCTTTAACACTTTCCTTTTGTTTTTCATGGGAGCAGGGCCAACTCTTCTACTCCCCCAACCCCTAAACAGGCACAGCTTTGGAAACCAGCCATATACGCATGTGGCTCCAGGCACTGCCACCCCTCTCCTGCCAGCTCTGGGTCATGTCAGAAACCGTCTCTTTAGCATCCTTTTATTTCCCTGGTGCCTTCATATCCCTCACTGCATCCTTCCCCAAATCTGGGTAGACTGTCATCAGGTCCAGGTCTCCACGTGAAGCTGAAGCTTGAAGACTTGAAGTCACCACTGAGTGAAAGGCAAGATGGGCTGGGCTGCTCATTTGAGATCCATCTGCCCATAGGCATCTATGATCATTTCTTTTAAAAATTGCGTGGCCAGGAATTCAAGTCCACATTGGTGTGCACACATACGTGCACATTTCCACATGAATATTCCTCTTTGTAGCTGTCCCCTCTTCACACATTCATCTGTGTGTTCCCCTATGCATGTATGTGTTTTTCCCAGAGCTCCCCACATCCACAGGCCCTGTTTCCCCATGGTGCCGGTCTCTGTCCCTTCTCCATTTCTAGTGTATCTAAACAACCCCTTGAATAAAGGAGTAGGCTTTTTAGGTTCTGATCATCCAGAGCTACAAAAAGTGTCAAGTCAGATTCAGGTGGGGACATTTCCCAGGTGTGGTTGCTGTAGTTGAGCAGGAAGAGAAGCCAGGTGGATTTCCAAAGAGGAAGCAGTCCGGGTAGGGCTGGTTGTACCACTGCCACCAAGATCTGGAAGAGAGCTCTCAGTAGCTGGCAGAGGACTAACAAAGATCTTTTTCTCCATGTCAGTTAAGCAGATTGTGGGCCGCTGACCTGGGCTTGAGGGCTCAAGGTCTGGCCCTGCCATTTGGTGGCTCTGCGACACTGGGCAAGAGCTCTTCTAAACCTTGGTTCATCTGTAGAGTGGGACCACTTCTGCTGTGAGTATCTGTTGGGCAGTGGAGGACACAAAGAACAACCCCTGCTGGGGAGACTATGGGTTCCTTTGCAGATCCCCTTCTAGTCCTGGTCCTAAGAGGCCAGTCAGGTCAGCTGACAATCCCTTCTCAGGCAGCTTTTTTACTTTTTTTGTATGTGTGTGGTACCGGGGATTGAACTCAGGACCTTGTGCATGTGGTGCACGTGAGGCAGGTGCAGTGCCCCTGAGCTAAGTCCCTGGCCCATTTTTTAACTTTTTTTTTCAGCTAGCTTTGACAGATGGTACAGATGCTGTGCCAGAGGCCTTTAAACACTACACCATTGTGTTCTCATAACAAATCTCCAGTAGCATCATCATCATCATCATCATCATTATCATCGGTTATTTGAAAAAAAGGTTTCACTATGTAGTCCAGGCTGGCCTTGAATTAACTGTGTAGCTCAGGCTGATCACAAACTTGTGATGCTCCTGCCTGAGCCTCCTGAGTGCTGAGATTACAGGCGTGCGGCATCATACTTGACTTCAGAGACATGATTGTGCCTACTTGACAAGTCGGAAACAATCTGATATTAAGTGGTGGAGCCAAGGCAAGAATCTTGCTTGATTCTGACTGCCTGCATCCCACTTACTTCCCCTAGATGTGCTTATCAGGCCCCTGTGGCCTGCTCAGTTTTGGTGAACAAATATAGTCTCAACTCTGATGATAACACAGCAGTGCCAACCCAACATAGAGCACACGCTGAAGTCACACTCTACAGCACTGGAGAGTTGATACTGTGTTGTCAAATCTGTCATTCTGTGTGACCTTTCACACAAGCCTATCAAGGCAAGCAAGTTAAGTGGGTTCTTCCTACCTTACAGATGAGGAAACTTGGGCTAAGAGACTACACAGCCCGGGCCCAGCTCTTTCCCACTCCCCCCTGCAGCACATGAGGGACATCTGCTCGTGGCAGCTTCTCATCCAGCTTTATTGGGAAGCAGCACAATTGGAGGTGGCCAGATCTAGGGTGGGAGCACTGAGAGTACTGTCCTTTTCAAGCTAATGCGGGGGAAGCCCTGGAGGCCACAGGGCCCAGGGAGCTGGCAGGACCAGTGGATAGGCACTTGGAACCTTGAGATCTCAGATGCCCTCAGGTGCCGGGGATGGCCTGGCCTCCTCATGGGTAGCATCCCAGAACCCGGACCACTTGCCCTTGAAGGAGCTCCAATAATCTTGCAGGGAGCTTAAGCTATCACTCATCCAGCCCCTGGGGGAAATCAGAAAGAGGTCGCAGTAAAGATGAGTGTCAGAGATGTTCTGGCTGTGGGACCCACACTCCCCAACATCTCCGCTGACTCTCCTCCCTCCCCCAGCCTTACCAAGCAATGCCCCCAAGGCCTCAGTCAGCAAGCACAAGCAGCCATCACCCCAAGCAGAAGAGATGCAGAGGCGGTGAAGGGAACCAGCACCGTCTAACCCCACATTTCTCCAGGTTGGGTCAGATCATTGCTACTGCCCCCCAGTCCTTGGGCTCAAGGCACAAAGTGTTGAGTGAGCAATGTGTAAGGTCAGGGCTACTTTGTCTTTCAGGCCAATGCTGTCCCCTGGTGCTGTGTACCCTGGGGCTCCCGGTGGGGAAAAAGAGGGATAGAGAAGCTGGCTCCCTCATTCAGAAAATAACTGGGGGACTGACTAGCTGTATAATCTCAACCAGGTCCTTTTCTGAGCCTCAGTTTTCTTTTCTGCAAAGTGAGGAAAATAATACCCAGTCCATAGCCCACCCTGATGACTAGCAGCATTTGCCTCCGAAGCCAGCAGGGGATCAGGGAGAGCTGAGGACTCTTGGGTAGGACGGCTGGGGACACCAGGACAGACTTCTGCCCGCACTAGCAGAGGAAAACACCCCTCCACTTCCAGGCTAGAATTGGCAACCCTCTCGCCCCACGGTCAGGAGAGGAAAACGGCAGTAAGGGCTAAGCTGGCCCACCTCAGGGCTGTACTAGGGAGAAAGAGGGCAGTAGAGGAAGGGGGCCCCACCTCTGACACCTTTCCCCTGGCCCCTTGAGGGGACAGGGAGGCTCAAAGAGGTGCAGGCCTGGGCTGGGCTGATAGAGTCACACTCTAGTCACCAGAGCTCTTTCCAGGGGAGGGCAGGCCAAGTGGGGACAGAAAGAGCTGGCACAGAGGACCAGGAGGCCTAGTGGGCGTACCTGGCCTGCTGGGCCATCTCAAAGTCCTGCATCTTGGTCAGTGCGTCCTGGGCGGTCTTGGAGGCATGCTGCACATAACCCTGCACGTAGTCCTGCATGTAGCCCAGGAGGGAGGCGTCCTCGGTCTCCGTAGCTCCTGCTGGGAAAGCAGAACTGAGCAGGGGTGGCTTGGCCCCCAGAGGCCCCTTGGCTCCCACCTGACCACCACTCACAGGGCATAGAAGCCCCAAATTACTTCCCACATTGCCTGAAGCCCGGTTCCCAGAAAGCGCTTACGGGCAGAGGCCAAGAGTGCCAGGAGGATCACAGTGAGGAGTACCCGGGGCTGCATGGCGCCTCTATTCCTGCAGAAAAGAGTCCCGTGAGAGCTCCCTACATCCCCCCACCTCTGAGCCTTTGAGGTGGGTCAGCAGAAGAAGGGGTTAACATAGTCTGTCAGGGAGGGATGCCACAGAAAACCCCCAGACTGGGAATGAAGGCCTCAATTCCCTCATCTCCCTGTCTGGGCTAGGGTTGGGTGTCAAGGGCTTCTTCTAGCCCTCAAAGAGAGGAGAGATACGCAGCATGGGTATCAGTTCCAGTCCAGCTTGACCACCCCTTCTTCCTGGGCCTCTGTTTCCCCGGGGCACAGTTGGGGATGGGGTACATGCATGTCACCCGTGACTTCCTAGGCTCCTGCAAACTCTCTTCTAGGCCTGCTGGCTGGGCACAAGGAGCCTTCTCTGGCCACTCCTGCCCTCCTCCCTCCTCCCCTTGCCCCGTCCCAAGGGCATTACCTGGAGTAGTTGCTTCTAGGTATGAACTGAATAGGAAGGCAAGAGGGTGGTTCTGACCTGTTTTATATTGTCCCCAGGGGAGGACAGCGGGCACAGAGGGCCCAGTGAGCAGGGCAAAGGTCACCTGCTGACGGGAGAGCAGGGCCTGAAGCAGAGACCAGCTGCATCTGCTGCCAGAGGAGCCCGGGATCCCAGGCTGTGCCTGGGGGCTCACCTTCCCCCCACCCCCACAGCCACATGGTCTGCTCCTGAGCAGGCCTGGGGAGACCCCACTCCTTCTCCAGACTGACTCCCCAGGAGGCTGGTGAGAAGAGAGAGGCTTTTGGGGATGAGCCAGGGGCCCTGGATTCACCTCAGCTCCTTCATATGTGAGTTTTCAGGTGCATGCTTCCCTGTCGAGCCCTGCACTAGCCTGGAGTTGGAGTGATGGGCTTCCTCAGTCCTGAGAGTCACTCAGGGCTGTGGGATGGGGCATCTGCAGGGCAGCATGGAAGGGCAAAGGGCAGGTCCTGTGTGGGAAGGCAGCAGCCAGGTTCACACAGCCCCCAGCACCTCCACCTCAGGGCTTCTAACACGCAGTGCTCCCAACAGCTGAGCCAGGGCAGGGCTGGCCGGAAGAAGGGCAAAGGGTGGTCTGAGCCCAAGGCCTTTGTCCGTCCCTCCTCCTGTGCCCCTCAGGACTCTTGCACTCTGGACCCACTGATAACATCCCCAGGGCAGGGACAGGGAGCCCTCCCTGAGCCAGGTGGCCCCAACACTCCTCTCCACTGGGCTCTGGGCTCTGGGCTCCTCCTGCAGCTCTGGCCATGTGACAACTGGAAGGAGTGAGTGTGGAGAGGCCAGGCTGCAGGGGCTCAGGCACAGAGGAGTTCTGGGGGGCAGACACTGCTCTGGCTTCTCGGGGCTAGGATAGTCCCAGAGGGCACACTGAGAGCCACAGGGAGGATAGCAATGTCAGGGGACATTGCCTTCTAGCTGCGGGGACTTTGGAGCCAGGAAATCGTAGCTTTCAATGACGCCTTTGTCTTTCACTCATGTGACGTATGGCCGGAGATCTAATCCCAGAGCCTCAATTTTCTCCTCTGTAAATGGGAATCCAATACTGATTTTCCAGAGTTGCAGAGACAAGTCAGTGAAATACTGCATGTACAAAGCAGCTGGTCCACAGGGTGCTTCACAAACACACAGTCTAGTTCAAGGCAGGAGCCAGCAACATCGAAATAGGGCTTTTGGCAGGCAGCCATCCTCCCAGGAAGAGAAAATTAATCTCACAGTGTGAAGCCAGACTCCTAGGGAAGTGGCTTGGCCCTACCCTCAGAATTCTTTACTCACAGATGAAACCTGAATTTTCTCTATTAGGGATTCATTCCTTTGCTAAAGACCTTGTTTTCTGTTAAAATGCAAGTAGTCAGAACCCTGTGGATTAAACATTAACTCCATTTTATAGGCAGGAAATCTGAGACCCAAAGAGGGAGAGACCTATCTACATGAGCACAGGTAGAAAGCAAGTCCTTAAACATTCAGACAGACTGGAGAGGTGAGACCACCCCGCCCCCCAGAGACTTACTAGCCACTTACACAGAGCAAATCCATTTTAGCTCACTTTCTGGGAATAGACTTGGTGATGCATGGGGAAGAAGGAAGGTAATACAGAGTCCTGGGAGATTTGGGCAGTGGGGTGGGCAGAGGGGTCACAGTGACCACTTTACTCTTGTGTCCCAGACTGTTCCTTACCCCAGAGGCAAAGCACAGTGGGGATATTACCAGGGCTAGGAGGTGGCACAAGGGCCTTGACCCTGGGTAGACTGGCCAGGTCCCTTCCACCTGTCCTCCCTCCTGCACAGCCCGCAGCCACTGAGCCCAGGTGCTCAGAAGACATGAGTGGGGAGCCTGGGTGTGTGTCCACGTAGCCGGTGTGCTGTGTGTGATGACTCCCAGCCTGCTGGGCCATCTGAAAGTCCTTCACTTGGTCAGCAGTGCCGGTGCCTACCCCGCCAGCCGGTGGCGCTTCCATGGGGCCCTCTCAGGGGCTGGCCTAAGCCACACCTGCCACTCTCCATGACTCCCCTGGAAAGATGGGCTCCACAGATCTGGGGAAGTACCAGTGGGGAGTAGGGAAAGGGGGAGCTGACCAGCTGGGTCTGAGAATGTCCTATCCCTCTGCTTCTCGGCACATGAATCCCCAGACCCACGCCCCTGCCACTGATTTGACCTGGTCCCATTCAACCTTGCTGGCCAGAAGCCCTTCACTATACCTCTCCTTGCTGCAAGTTCTTCCTAGTGTCCTACCCAGATTCTCCTCTGCTTAGTTCTGCCCCAGAAAGAGGGCTAGTACGAAGCTGATTCAAGGACATGTGGCTACATGACACGTGTCTAGTGGTGCGCCCGCACGCCCCGTCACATCTGTGGCTGGGTCTGAGCTATCTGCTCCTAATGTTGGCCTTTGTACTGACCCCTGCGTCACTCTCCTGTGTAGACAGAAGAGACAGCTATAGGTAGTGTCAGGCTTTTGGCCTCATTGCCTCACCAGCCATGAAGCCTGTCTGAGCACAGACAAGGAAACTGAGGCTCAGAGAAGGACATTACTGTCCGAGATCACATGGGCCCTTTGGGAGTCCCAGCTGACAGGCTGAATTTGTTCTTTTCCATCACAGCACAGGCAATGCACTCTTGTTCTCTCCCTGGCCCACACATAGGCGCAGATCTGGGGAAGGATGGACAGCATTCTTGACATCGTGCCCTCCCTTGGGGGCCAGTGTGTGTACTGCCTAGCCAGCCCCTTAGCCCTGGGCCCAAACTCTGTATTGCAGACAGTTTTGATGTTTTCGTACTTCTGTGAGTCCTCCTCATCCTGGCAGGTGCTCTTAGACACACTCTAGTGACTCAGGCCCTCCTAGTGTAGATAGAGACACTCAGTGAACAGGTGACACAGAAGTACCTCTGGACCTGTCCCATGCTGGCAGGGCTTACAAGTCCAGAAAGTCAGCAGACTGCAGCAGAGGTGTTTTTGGTGACTCACCTGGCAGAGGGGGGAAGAGCGGGGCCCTAAGCAATGACCTTTGCACCCACCCCAGTCTGGACCGAGCCTGATTTGGCAGCAGGATTGGGACAAACATGTCAATGTCACACGAAGGTGAGCCTTTTAGGATAAAACATGGCTCAATACTTACTAAGCACCTCTTAAGGCATCAGGCTCACTGTCATGAGCTTCACACAGATCATCTCTGGCTGGAGAGCCCAGGAGGAAGGTGCTAGGATTACTTCCATGGAAAGAACCAGACCTCAGAGAACTTACGAGACCTGCCCAAGGCCACCCAGGCAGACACAGGGGAACCCAGACATAAACCCAGGGATTCAGATGCTAGAGTCTGAATTTAAAAACTCCTGAGCTGGCATGGGCTGCTCAGAAAGGAGTAAACTCTTGGACAGTAGAGGCAACCGTGGTGACATGGGGAGCGTTGTAGTGTCGTGGGGACCCAGCATGAGGGGGGCAGGTGTTAGAGGCCTTTTCACTGTCTTCAACCTTGCAAGACTTTGGGTCACTCTGGAGTATGAGAAGAAGAGGAAGAAGAGGAGGTGGGGAGTGGTGGGGGAAGAGGGAGAGAAGAAAAGGAAGGAAAAAGAAAGGGAGGGAGAAATGGTAAATCAGACTTAGCGCCATTGTGTTTTGCTCTGAGGGTTTTCATTTTACAAAGAAGGGGTGGCCACCTGTGACTGGCATGGAGCTCCAGACAGAGCCTACAGCACAGTATGGCAGTGTTCTCACCTAGTCACAGCGGGTGCATGGTCCACTGGAGCCCCCATGTGACTAGGTGCGACATCTCCAGAGTACAGGAAGAAGTCTATGAGGAAGACCCAGCAGCCTGGCCACTCTCCAGCCCAGTGAGAGGGCCAAAGGGAGCCTTGGGTCTTGCCATTCTGCACAAGCCTGGGGTGGGGCTGGGGGCAGCAATCAGGCCTCAGGCTGCTCCCCGCACCCTGTCACCTACCTCTAGTCTGCCTGGTCACCCTCAGAGAGGATGAGCTCTCTACTGCACTTCCTGCCTTGGTCCAAATCTGCAAAATGCTGTGATTACTAACCCTAAGCACTAGTTTTCAAAGCTTACTCTGTGTGTGGCACCATCCTGCCCACTTCACAGGCACCATCTTATTTCATGTGTGGAACATCGTCACTGTTCTGAGGGGAAACCGAGGCTCGGGCTTTGAATAGGTAACTACCCAAGGCAGCACAGTTTGGAACACAAAGCACACTTACTATTAACCCCTTCAGCACAGGGTTCCTGCCTATCCCATCACCTGCACAGAGGCTGTCATGGGCACCTCCAGGGCAAAACACCTCTGGGCACAACTACACAGCGTCCCATCTGTAGCCCTGTAGAGGCCTGGTCCAGAGTTCTCTGCTCTAGCAAGGAGTCTGTGTTGGTGGCAGCTGTAGGGGTGGGTGGCTGTCTCCACTGGGCCAGACAGACATGTGGACCTTGTCCCCCAGCCTGGCACAGACCCAGAGCAGCCAGCAGGGCTCCTGCGGCATCGTCCTGCTCTGGGCTCCTCTGGGCCATGTTTCTCCCACAGCTCACGGCTCCCCCCACCTGCCCTCCTGCACTGGGTGGGGCCCGGCCTAGGACAGAAGCCCCAGTCTGCCATCAGCTTCCACGTAGACTTAGGGTCAGTAAAGTCCAAGAGGCCTCCTGGGAATGTGTCACCCTCCAGCGTGGAGGCGCACAGGGGAGGGAGGTGGAGAGGGCGTCTTGGAGGAGCTTTAAATGCTGGGCTGGTTCTGGGCTCCAGTCAGTTCTCCCAGCGGCATAGGTGAGCCAAGGATCTGTTCTCTGCTGACGCCAGGAAAACCCAGAGCAGCTGAGAGCCCTGTAGCCCAGCAAGGAGCCCAGGATGTTCCTGAAGGCGGTGGTACTGGGCCTGGCCCTGGTGGTTGTTAACAGTAAGTAGAAGCTATCTTTGGACCATGTCTCCGACTGCTGCAGTGAGTGGGCAGAGTGGAAAGGCTGGGCTAAGGCCAGCAGGTACTTCAGAGGCCTCAGGTTGGACACAGGCCCTATCCAGCTACCACACAAGAGCTGGCACTTGCCCAGTGGTGGGCAGGCTCACTAGCATTGGTGCTACCAGGCTAAGCCCAGAGAGAGAAAGTGAGTGGGTTCCTTGCCATCCTCTACTCTTCACCTCAGAGCTGGAGCTGAGGAGCCAGGGAAGAGACAGGTGTGCATGAGTTGCTTTCTGTTCCCTGCCCAGGTGCCCAGGCAGAGGTCAGTGCTGATGAGGTGGCTACTATGATGTGGAACTACTTCAGCCAGCTGAGGAACAATGCCAAGGAGGCGGTGGAACATCTGCAGAAGTCAGAAATCACCCAGCAGCTCAAGTAAGGAGGTGGGAGGAGGTGGCACAGCCTGAAGAGCAGGGCTTCTTAGAAGCCAATCCAAGCACACGCAAGGGCTGAGGGCAGAGGTAGGACACAGCACTTAGGATAATCACTGCCTTGCTGCTGACTGGGGTTCCTGGGCTCTGGATCTAAATGAAAACAGGGAGGTTGTACCAAATTATCCGTACAGCACCTTCCTGATTTAATGCTGTAGAGTTTGACAAATGGCCACATTCTGTCACTGGGGTTCATGGAAGAAAACGAAGGAGGGAAATGTCACACAGGCTGGCTTCTAACATATTCCTGAAGCAAATTCCCCCATGAAATCTGGGGAAAGGAGGTATTTGGGAAGCTCCCGGGCACATGTAAGGAAATCAGCACCTTGTGCTGCTGAGGTCGAAAACATTCTAAGACACAATATGACTCTGTCACAGTGCACCTAGGCTGAAAGACTCCTAGTTCACTCCCATTCTTCACAGCCGAGGAGAGGAAGCCTGCTTGTGCACCTGTGATGGGTGGATAATGACACTTCAACTCAGTGGGAAGTACAGAGATACAAATTCAATATAGTGACAGTCTGCACATCTATTCCCTCATATCAGGACCCCAGCTAGGGAGACCCATAAGGTAAAAAGATGGTTAAGCTCCAGATCTCCTACCAAACACCTGTGCTGGGCAGATGTGTACCAGGGGAGTGTTGCACATGTGTAATGGTGGCCCTCTATGCCCTTCCCCCGCAGCACCCTCTTCCAGGACAAAGTCAGCGATGTGAACACCTACACCAGCGTCCTGCAGAAAAAGCTGGTGCCCTTTGCCATGGAGCTGCATGAGCGCCTGACTAAGGACTCGGAGAAGCTCAAGGAGGAGATTCGGAAGGAGCTGGAGGACCTGCGTACCCGCCTGCTGCCCCACGCTCAGGAAGTGAGCCAGAAGATTGGGGACAATGTGCGAGAGTTGCAGCAGCACCTAGGGCCCTATGCCGAGGAGCTGCACACCCAGGTCAACAAGCAGGCAGAGCAGCTGCGCAGCCAGCTGACTCCCTATGTGCAGCGCATGGAGAGCGCGGTGTGGGAGAATGTGGACAACCTGCAGGCCTCCCTGACACCCTTCGCGGAGGAGTTGAAGGCCAAGTTTGACAAGAATGTAGAGGAGCTCAAGGGGCACCTCACTCCCCACACTGAGGGGCTCAAGGTCAAGATCGACCAGAATGTGGAGGAGTTGCGCCGCAGCCTGGCCCCTTATGCAGAGGATGTACAGGAGAAGCTCAACCACCAGCTTGAGGGCCTGGCCTTCGAGATGAAGAAGAATGCAGAGGAGCTCAAGGCCAAGATCTCAGCCAACACCGAGGAGCTGCAGCAGAGGCTGATACCCATGGTGGATGATGTCCGAAGCAAGCTGAGGGGCAACACCGAGGGGCTACAGAAGTCACTGGCACAGCTGAGCAGCCACCTGGACCAGCAGGTAGAGGAGTTCCAGAGAAATGTGAAGCCCTATGGGGAGACCTTCAGCAGAGCCTTGGTACAGCAAATGGAGCAGCTCAGGAAGAAGCTGGGCCCCTACGCGGGGGACGTGGAAGGCCACTTGAGCTTCCTGGAGAAGGACCTGCGGGACCAGGTCAGCTCCTTCTTCAGCACCCTGGAGAAGAAGTACCAGGACAAGTCCCCAGCCCTTGTCCTCCCAGAACAGGGTGTTCCTGGAGCAGGGCCAGAGCAGCCCCAGGAGCAGCCCCAGGAGCAGCAAGAACCCTCCCCTTTGGAGAGCTGAGCTGCCCCTGGTGTCCTCCACCAGTTACCATGGACACCTGCCCTGCCCTGCCTCCTGTCTGCCCAGTAGTCCCTAAGTACTTCTTGTGCAAGCTTGAGGACACATGCCCAGGGAGTGGTGATGCCCCTTCCCCATATTCAATACAGTTGCTGAGAAACTAGCCCCATCTGGTTGTCATGGAATTTCTTTCTTTCTTTCTTTTTTACCTTGTCTAGAGCCAGGATTTGGGGTCATTATTTTCTTTTTCTTTTTTTTTTTCTTTTTTTGTCATGGAACTTCTTGTTGCGGGGAGGAGAACACTAATTGGCTGAGCTTAGCAGCTGTCTGGAAAACACTGGGGGACACTAAGGCTGAGACTACAGCCAAGGGAAAGACCAATATGTTGGGCAGGGGTGTTGGGGAGCGCTCTAAGAGGAGGTAGAGAAGTAAGATTCCACACATCATCTGAAGACAAAGTACACAACCGCTCAGTCATTCAGGCAACAAATAATTATTGAACACCCTCGATGTGCCAGGCATTGTTCTGGGCACTAAACAATTAGCAAATAACTTTCGTGAAGCTGAGTGTCTGTCACTGGGTCTCACTCTGAGAGGGATACCTAGAGGTGAGCGGGACATGGTCCTTCACTGCACAGTGGAGAAGACAGTCCTACCTGTCATATAACAGCTATGCCTTTAACTTCTTTATGTAGAGTTGAGTTCAACCCAGCTCATTTTAAAAGTGACTCATGCCTGTTCGAGAAATTTCTTGACCCCTGACTAAACCCCCCTTGACTGCTGGCTCTGACCCAGGTCTGTGAGTCTAGCCATCACCTCTCTCCTCCCCAGAGTAGGGGGCAGAGTTTCAGGGATCTTGGATTCCAGCTTCTCAATTGACTATGGGATGATTTGGGGTAGCTGACAGATCCTCTTTTGGAAGGCAGGAATGACAGTCCTCAGCTTCAAGAGTTGTTCTGAAGGTCTTGTGGAGCAAGGGGTGCCAAGCATTTAGCATAACACTGTGAGTAGAGTAAACATGCAATAACTGAATTACTTCTTACTGCTGTAGCACAAACAATGCCCAGTGTATGTGATCTCCAGCTGCCTTCACTCCCGCACTCTAGGTCAGGCTGCTGCAGCCACCTCTGCCCCTTGCTCCTGGCACTGTAGGAGTCTATCTGCGGACATACCTTGATGAGTCCAGCAAAACCCAGAGGCTTACTGGCTGCCTTTAGGAGAGAGCCACACAGAGCAGTGAGGCACTGCGAGGGCACTGCACAGAGGCTGGGCAGTCTGTTTCTGAGCATGCCTGGAAACCCAGAGGTGTTGCTAGACCTCACCTGAGGACCACCTGTTTGAGAACTGTCTCCAGGACACTCAGGGCCTCAGTGTCTCCCAGGGCTTGGTTCTTACTATGAGTCCTGGGTGGGACTCCTGATTCTTTCCCACCACCCCAGGACTGTCTTTGAAGGTCCTGTCATGGCCCTAGTCCACCTGGATGAGACATCTGGTCATCACCTGGTCTTATCTAGTCATCAGTCTTCCAGGTTACTGACCTGGCGGATGTCTCCTGGTAACAACACTGCTTGTGGCTACTGCAATGGAATGAGTATTTATATCCCCCAAGTTCATTTGTTGAAATCCTATCCCCCAAGGCAATGCCAGCAGGAGAGAGCATAGGAGGTGATTAGATCATGAGAACAGAACCCATACAAATGGTGGTGTCCTTATGTAAGAGGCCCTGGAGAGATCTCACAGCACTTTCACATGTGAGGACATGGCCATCTATGAGCCAAGAAGCTGCCCTCATCTCACACTGAAAATGCTGAATATGCCTTTATCATGGAGTTTCCAGCCTCCAGGACTGGGAATAATGAATCTGTTTATGAGCCACCCAGTTTGTGATATTGTAGTAGAGAGGCCTGAATGGACTCAGACAACTGCGTGCAGCTTCTGAATCTCCCTTGATGGTGAGTTTTAAGAGGCAGAGACCGCCTCCCTTTATAGACTAAAAATGCCAGCCTCTTGACATGTAGCCTCCCTTACCTTAAGCCAGTGTCGTGGGCTGCTGCTTCGCAAATCAGACATAATTTCTCCTGGCTGGTGAAAAAAAACAGGGCCCTTGGAGAGTCCTATCTGGGATGGGCAGTTTATAGTGGGTTTGAGCCTTCATCCAAGGCTTAGTCCTAGCAGTGGCTACTAGGAAGCCTGGACTGTTCTGGCCCAGTGATAGTAGAATAGCTGTCTCCACTGGTGTAGTTTTACAGAGTGATAAGGCCATGTTTCCTCTTTTAGCTTCCTTTATTGTCTATTCTCCAATCCAAGTACTTTCCTTGAAATTCCTGAAAATAATTCAATAAATGTAGCTTCTGTGTTTATCTTCCAGAGTAGGTATCTGTGGCTATCAAAAGCCTTGATTGACAACCCATTCTGTCTCTTGGGGAGGTTTCTGCTGCCTTGGCCCTTGGAAGCCACACCCTCACCTCTACCCAGCTTTAGTTGTCTGTGGTATTCTTAGTCCTCATTGGATCAGAGTCTGTCTTTCCAGAAAGGCAGTCTTCCCTTTTTGTTTTAAGCCTTTTTGTTTCAGTTTCCTGTGACCCAGTCAACCCCAGGGTCATCCCTAGCAGGGAAGACAATGATACAACTGAGATTAGAAATGACCATCTGTCCTTGCTTCGGCAACCAGCCCCACCTACTATTTTCAGAGACATTCTGACAGCCACTCAGATTTCCTGTGAGGTCCTGAGGTCAAGAAAACTCCTGATTCTGTTGAGGAAATCTTTTTTATTTATGAGAAAATTCCTGAGAGATTTTTAGGTTAAAAAAAAAAAAAAAGATTTATGTATAGGAAATTTTTTTTATTTATGAGAAAAATCCCGAGAGATTTTTAGGTTAAAAAAAAAAAAAGATTTATGTACTACACATCCCTGTTGTTATATTTCAGATCTTGGCTGTCCCCCAAGATGTGTTGACAGCTTGGCTTGGCTTGGTCCCTCCCCAGACTGTGGTGCTATTGGAGGGTGGATGAGGATGTAGAGCTAATGCAAGGAAGTTGAATTGTTGTGGAAGCAATTGGCAAGTGACACACAGAGGGAGCAGAATGGAAGTAAAATAACAAAAGTTTACTCCATCGATGGGGACTGATCACACCTAATGGCAGTGCCCTGATTGACCCAATACTCTGCTGCAACTCCTTCTTTTATAGGATTTTACAGCCTTGATCTCATTCAGGTGGTTACATTTCATTTTCACTGTTCACATTGCTGATATTCAAAACATGGTGGCGAGGCAGCTGAATTTCAACCAAGATGTAGCACTCCTTTGGTAGGGGAGGTTACCTTTAAAATTCACTTAGTTATCTATTCTAGCCCAGGGGAAGGGGTGTGTGTCTGATCAGCAAAATTAACAACAACAACAAAAAAATGTACAAAACTTTTTTGGGAGACTAGATGCCTCCAGTGCCTGTAGATTCTGAACTAAACAAAGCAAACTCCAGAAGTTATTTTACATTGTGGCATTTCATAGGGTTTTTTTGCTATTCAAGTGTTCTCTCACAGAACCATTGAGGTTGTGCTCTTTAAGAGAATGTTGGAACCTTGGCACCTTCCTCTTTTCCTCTTTGCTTCCTTGTTACCATGAGATGAGCAGATTCCTCTACCATGTGCTCCTACAAAGATGTGCTGCCTTGTCATAGGCCCAACAATCATGGACTGAAATTTCTGAAGCCCTGAGCCAAAACAAAACTTTGATTTTTTTTTTTTTTTTTTTTTTTTTGGTACCGCGGATTGAACTCTGGTCCTTGGGCTTGCAAGGCAGACCACCGAACCACTGAGCTAAATCCCCAGCCCTTAAATTGATTTATTACAGGTATTTGTTATGGTAATGGAAAGGTGATGCACTGGCCTGTTAAGGAAGACACATGCATACTTGCATGTGAATATGTCAGGAAGCAAAAAGCTCTTGGCACAGCTGGACCTGCACACCTCTCCAGGGAGGACACAGATGGGACGTCCTAGCTGCCAAACAGGAGGCTTGAGAGCAGGCAGGAGGGGGACCATGAAACAGAGAAAACTGTCCCCTACCCAGCCAACTGAAGAGTGAGAGGAGGAGGAGTCACAGAAAGTAAAACCTGGGATAAAAGGGAAATATAGACCCCTTCCCCTACTGATGGCCTCGCAGCAAGTGCTGTAGAACTTTGATGTTGTTAGGGACCTGACGCTGCCATCACAGGCTGCATTTTCCTGGTGCTCCTTAGCTCTTAAAAGACCTCATGCTCTTTTCTTTAGTTTCCCTCCCCTCAAGGCCACAGTGGTCTGAAGAGGTTAAACCTGTTTCTGCAGAACCAAACCCATAAAGGGCAACCTGGCCTGTGATAGGTTAAAGGTCGCCCACTCCTCATAAATAAGCAATAGCCCAGCCCAAAACCAATAAAAGGAACTTCCTTTCTTTGTTCTTCTCTTCTTCTCTCTCTTTCTTCCTTCTCTCCTCTCTCCCTAACCTGTCATCCCTAATAAAATCTCCTGCCTGATCTCTCCAGTGTGTGGCGTAGTTGTTGAGTGTTGCTGTGCCTCTGCAGAAGTGGCAATTGATGTGATGTTTGAAGCTGTCTAGAATGAACTGTTTTAAAAAACATATTGTCAGTACTGTTTAGATTCATGTAATTTTTCCAACAGACTATGACCTCTAAGATGCAGTAGATGAGGGAAAGCCTTTTCAGAATGTCCAGGGTTGTTACCTAGCAAGGGGTAGATTTGGGATTTGACCCTGGACTATCCAGTTAAATGGCTTTTCTCAACTCCCAAGCTCTGCACCACGAATCCTCATAGAGCAGAGGATCCTCTCCTGCACAAGAGTCAGGCTTGGGCTCTACTTGATCATACTAAAATCCTAGTATCTGGCTTGCATAAAAGAAAGACATTGGGAAGCCTAGACTTACAGGGGAGGGGTTTTATTTTCTAGCAGAGATTTATATAGCTTTGGGATTTAAGAAAAAACTTTTAGTCTTACCCCTATTTTTTCCAAGCTGGGATGAAACCCAGGGCTCTGCACATGCCAGGCATAGACTCTATCACTGAGCTACATTCTAAGCTGCTAGCATTACCTTTTAAGGGTGGGTATAACATAAATTTATCTTTTAAACCATATTTATACACACAACTCACTGGCATTAATTCTATTCACAAG